CTGGCATTTCATGTGCTCGATCATTTTGCCCAAAGTATATGTGATACGGATAGTTGTGAGCCTTCTCCGTTATCAGGGCAGTGACAGGTGGCACAGCTGGTGGTGCCAAGGTACTTCCTTCTCCCTGCCCCTAATATGAGTGTATCAGAGGGAGGTCGCTGGGCAGGAGCAGATAAAATCAACAGGATTATCCCCCAAATGGGCTGAGCACAGTACTGGCTCCTGGTGGGGAGGATCAGGGTTAGGGTCCGCTCTTCCCACCCTCCCCAGCCCTGGGTTTGCATGTCACCAATCTTGACTGGTGTGTGCACCTGTCCACGAGGCAGGACTGTGCCTCCTGCTCAGTTGCACTGTTTCTCCTGATGCACAATGCCTGGGGGGAGTCTGAGTGCTGAGAAGCTGGGTCCAATTGTGGTACCTGGGTACAGATGCTCTTGGGGGAACACCGCAGCCTGGGCAGTTGGTGTGCACAACAGAAGGACAGAATGTGGCATCAAAGGGATGTCTGCTGGAAAGCAGGAGCCAGGATGCTGGGCAAGGGGTGGGTTTGGTCCAAGGTGATTCAGGGATCAGGGCAGGGCCCAGAAGGCGTCGCAAACCCACAGCCAGCAGCCTAGAGCCTGAGGTCAAATTTCCCACATCACACATGCTCGCTCCTTCCTTCATTCAATAAAGACACGTTAAGGAGGCAGTGTGGGGAACAGGGCAGATGGCTGGGACTCTGCACGCAGGGTCACCAGTGTGAAAATTAATAAAACGGAAAGTGGTTTAGAAATGGAGTCAGGAAGCCAGCAGGGGGAGCTCCCACGCCCAACAGGAACAGCTGCTTGCTGCAAGTCCGGGCGCTTTAGCTGCTTCAGTTTGCCAGCAGGAGAAAGGTTTTTCTCCTCCTCCAGCAACCACCAGCTAATGAGACTGTCACAGCTCAGCCAATGAAAAGCCACTATACTTCAGACTCCCTGTTTACTCCAAAGGACTTTTTTGGTTTATGACTGTTCCTTCCAAATTCCTCCCTCTCCTCTATAAAAGAGCATTCTGTTCCTTTGTTCTCCCGACTTGCCTATGGTTTTGCCACATCTTCCCTGTCCTGAATTGCAATTCTCTGCTATTCCCGAATAAACCCATTTTTTTTTTTTTGTAAAATAACTGCAAGCTTTATTTTTAAGATTTAAAGCCAGCAACTAATGCAAGAAGAGGGAGTTGTAGCCAGGGACATGCCTGCCAAACTGACCCTGAGGAGTAGAAGGAAGGAATCTGGGGTGCGGGGGAAGGACAGGTACCCGAGAGCAACATGCAAACAGCGGCCCGGAGCTCAGAGGGGGGGCTGGCAAAATGACCAGCGTGGGTGAGAGAGGCATGGTGGGTGTGGGCAGGGACCCAGCTGCTGATGGTGGATGAGCTAGACTGAGCCATGCAGCTTTGTCATGATGGCAGCAGGGAGCCCCTGAAGGGTTTTCAGGAGGAGGGAAGATTATCCGTGAAAGGAAAAAGGGGGAGTCTGGTGGCCACGGCCAGCTGCCAGGCTGACCTGCTCTTGGTGAGCTAAGTTTCTAAGCTGCTGAAGGGACCCCTGAGTTCCTGCCTCTAGGCCTTGGCTCACCTGTCTCTTTTGTCTCTCCCTTTTTTTCCTCTTCAACCCCAACAAGAGCAAGAGCAGGGCAGAAAAACCATGACTGCCTCGGATAGCCTCTCTCAACCTAGAGCAGTGGTGATGGTGTCCCCCAGGGAACCATAAGGTCTGGGGGGAAGGATGCTACAGGCATTGGGTGGGTAGAGGTCAAGGAGGCTGATAAGTATCTTGCAATGCACAGAGCCGCCCCAAAACAAAGAATTATTCAGTCCCAAAAGTCAACAGTGCCGAATGGGTATGTCCCGAACAGGGCATCCAAAGCACCAAAATGCATGAAGCACATAGTGAGCCAGGCGAACCAGGTGAGTGAGGCTGAGCGAGGCTGCCACCCACAGTCAGACCCAGCGCTTGTGGGGGTGCCCGAATATCCTGATGAGATGTAGGAGGGGCCAAGGGGTGAGCGATAGGGAAGAGGGTGCTATGGTTGGCAGTCAAGGCAGGTCCCTCCCTGGAGATGCTATCTGGAGCTTCGTTGGCAGGTCACCCACGATGTTGGAAGGACGGGCATTGGAGGCAGAGGGGCAGAGAGCGGGAAGGCTTTTAGGTGTGAAGGGAGGCCTGAGGGAGGTGACAAAGCGGATGGCTTTGCTGTCAGCCCCAACGGCAGCAGCACTGAGGGCCTGAAGGGGAGGCTCGGGGTAGGAACCGTGGGGGCTGCAGGGGTTCCAAGGGGAACTTGGAGGTCCGTGCCTGTGCGTTGGGTTGGTGGTGGGACTGGGAAGACGGAGAGAACAGAACTGGGCAAGCCCCTAAGGAGCCTCCTTCCCACGCTCGCGCCGTAGGCCTAGGAATGAGGAAGGACGGCTTCCCAAACGCCCCTGTACAGGAGAAGGGGCACCGCCTTCCGGCCTTGCAGACTTCTACACCCTCCCCGCCTCAGCGGAGGAGCCCGGCTGCGCAGGTGTACGATGGCGCTGACGCGCAGGCTCCGGACCCACAGGGCCAGCCTAGGGACCCGGGACACCCTGGGGGAGATCGCACGCCTGGTGGCGTATCCGGTCCCGGGAGGCGCGGGGTCTCCTAGGGGAAAGATGGAGCCGGGGATAAGCAGCCAAGGCGACAGGGTCTCTTTCGGGGATGTGGCCACAAGCTGAGAAGGAGGGTTTCAGGCGCGTTTGGCGCCGCTGTGTGGCCGAGGCGGCCGCAAAACGCGCTGCAATCGGGAACTCGCAGGGGTGCGGCCTCCTTGGGAGAGGGCGCGGCTTGGAGCGCGGGGCGGGGCCTCCCCAGCGGAGGGCCACGGTCCTAAGGCAGGGCGGGGCGAGGCCTCCTGAGGAGACGGAGCCGCGGGGGGCGCCGGGCGCGCTTTTCCTAGCAGGGGGCCGGGGGCCTGCGGCAGGGCGGGGCCTCCCTAGGAGTGGGCGCGACTCGGAGCGCGGGGCGGGCTTTTCCTAGCAAGGAGGCTCGGATCCTAGGACCGGGCGGGGCCTCCCAAGGAGAGGTCGCGGCTCAGGGCGTCTCAACTTGAGGGTCTGGCTCAAGGGCGCGGGGCGCGGTCTCCCGAGGAGAGGGCGCGGCTCAGGGTGCGAAGCGCGGTTTCTCGGACCGAAGGCGCGGGCCCTGGGGCGAGGCGGGACTTCAGAAGACGCGGCGCGAGGCGCGGGGCGGGGCCTCCCCACGGGAAGGCGTGGCTCAAGGCGTGGGGCGGGGTCTACCGGGGAGAGGGCGTGGCTCAGGATGGGGACGCGCGCCTAGGACGGGACGAGTCTCCCGAGGAGGGGGCGCGGCTGAGCGCGGGGCGGAGCCGGCGGGGCGGGGAGGGGCGGGGCCGGAGGGGAGTACTTAAGCCGCCGCGGAGCGCGCACACGCCCCGCCATGGCTCTGAGGCGCATCCTTTCTGTGTTGTGCGCCGGCACTCCCCGTCTCGCCCCGCTGTCCACCGCGCCGGCGGCTCGGGAGCAGGCTGCTGCAGGCCGGCAGGCAGTGCCAGGATGCGGGGCCGCCGAGGCCGCGCGGCCGCCGGTGCCCGTCGTGGACTTCGGCAACACTCAAGAGGCGTACCGCAGCCGGCGCAGCTGGGAGCTGGTGCGCGGCTTGCTGGTGCTGCGCCTGTGCGCCTCTCCCGCGCTGCTGGCGCACCACGAGCAGGTGCGCGGGTAGGCAGGTGGGTGGGCCGGCAGGTGGGTAGGTGCGCATCGCGGCGCGCAAGCAGGGGCACGCGCCGGATCCTGTGTGTGTTCCCGGAACCTTCATGAAGTTTTACTGTAGAGCGGGAGCCCCTTGAGCATCGCTGGTAGCCGAGAAGTCAGGAGGGAGTTGTTTCCTGCATTCCCTTTTGGGTGTCGTGAATTTTCCTGTATGCCAGTTACCACTAACTGAAAACGAAGACCAGTTTCTGAATTTTTAAGCGATATGCTGCTTGCAGTAATGCATAGTTGCCACCTGAAATTGAAATGGAGTGTCTTCCATGTTGCCCAGACGGAAGTCTTAGTGGTATTGAAAGGCTCATGGCCTGGGAACTCCGAGTTCTCAGAAGATGTGACTAGACAGAGCCGTTCGGAACAGTGTTGGGGAAAATGGGAAGTTACTTGAACTACAACTTTTATTACTTCAACATAGTAACTTGTGAAAAGTGTGAGTGCTTTGGGGAAGTAAAAAGAACCGTCTCAGCCACTGTCAGTCTGGACGTGTGGGAAAGACAGTTTTTCAAGGTGATCCTGGGAACAGTTTGTAAGGGTGCAGTTGTTGGTGCTAAGGGTCTGGAAGGCTCTTCATGTGGGTGGTGGTGATTTCTCAAGTGAGACTGTGCTGAGTGTATGGTACTGCCTTCCTTGGCCCCTGGAGGAGGCTGGGGAGGCTGGTCCAAAGAAGAGCACCAAGTCACACTTCAGGCTTAGGTGAAAGTGAAACCACGGTGGGTGGGAGGTGAGGATACAGTCCACAAAGTCAGAGTCGGGAGGGGTCTGAGGGGACTGTGAGGCCAGCGGAGTGTTGGACTGGGTCTCCAGAAGTTTTACTCAGATGCAGCCTGGGACTGATGGTGGGAGGGGAATGCAGAGGAGGAAGGGGCTGAACTGAAAATGTGGAGGCTCCTGGGAAGCCATTTGTGTTTGTGATAGACTTGGATGCCCTGTGGCAAATTTGTGGCTGTGGAGTGCCCAGGCCAACTGGAGAGGAGGATGGAAAGTGACACTCAGGGGTCAAGGAACCTGGTGGGGGGGTGAACGTGATAAGAACCCTTTGGGGAGCACCAACGTCTGAGGGGCAGCCTGAAAGGAGCAGCAAGGTCTAGAGGTGCAGTGGTCAGGAGGGAGGAGGCAGCTGGGGGGGGCGGGAACGACTAGGGGAGGGAATGGCTGGCTATGAGGTCTCTGTGGAGGGCAAGGACAGGGACCTGGCTCCTGCGGCGGGCATGATGGGACTGCTGGGTGGGACTGGGATGCGTGGCGCAGGAGTGGTGCAGGAGCCCCGCCTACCACCATGTGGCTGGAAGGGAAGGAGTGAAGGCTTGGAGCCAGCCAGGCCCTATTTCTCCCATCTCAGCACCGAGCTTGCTTTCTTGGGATCAAAGCCAGAGGAGAAGCCAGCAGAGCTGGAGACCATCGGGTACTGTGGGTGACCACTGTCCAAGTGCCAGCAAGTGCTGGGGTGCAGGGACCACCATGGGTGCTGGGAGGCATGGAGGCTTCTCCCAGCCTTCCCTCCTGTCCCACCTGTGCCCTGAGGATGCCTTCGGGGAGCCCACTAACGGCGCTCTGTGTGCCCCCTGTGGGACCTGTTCCACCACAACATTGCTAGTGGTCACACTGGTGTCAGTGGCCTTGGTGCGTGGCACTGGAGGAAATGGGGAAATGGGGCAGGGGCCCGGCTGCAGGGTTGTGGGCTGCTCACCAGAACCAGTACTTACCTTGTCCTCTGGCCTGGGGTGGAAATTCCTCCTGCTGAGCAGTGCGGGTCTGTGCAGCACTTGCGGGGGCAGTTGGGGATCATCAAATCTGTTCCCAGGGAGTGTCAGCCTGAAGGAGCCCTGTTTGAGCTGCTGCATTGGTTTGGGACCCGGTAGGGTCCCTTCCTTGCCAAAAGATAAGGGTTTAGAAAACTCAGGTCTTCCATGACAAAGGCTTCTGTGCTTGGGTGTAGGCCAGTGCAGAAGGGGGTAACAGAAAAGGAAGGGGACAGGATGGATAGTGATGGTGGCCTTGGGGGACAGGGAGGAGAGAGAACTGGCTTTACCCCTCCTTGCCCTGCACACATCTGTTTGAGTCTTTTACAGTGGAAACAAGTATATGTGTTCGTGGGGCAAGTTTCTAAACCCACGAAGGATGCCCCCACCTGGAGAAGAGTGGGGGCTGCCTTCATCTTAGTCCGTGCTACCCAGGGATACACCTGATGCCAGGATATTTTTCAAGGGGTGGCTTTGCTCTGGAGTTAGCTTTAGAATTGCCAGTCCTGCCCCGTGTGCTTCCATAGCCCTCTCTGATGGGCTGGCTTCCTTTTGCCAGAGTGAGAGGGTGAGTGACTGGCTCGGTGACCCGGGTGGCCTTGCCTGCCCTCCCCTCTGAGCCCCGCCTCCCCTTGGGGAGCTGGTCAGTGCGAAGTGCAGGCTTTGTGGGAGGTTACCAGCCCAGGACTCCCCTGGGCCGTATTCCACATCTGCCTTGCTCCTGCTTCTTTGATTAACATTGACTGTGGCTACTTTCGTGCTTCACATGCAGGGTTGAGTAGTTACGACTGTGACCACGTGGCCTGAGCAGCCTACGTTATTTACCGTGTGGCCCCGGGCAGGAAAATTTGCTGGCCTGAGAGTAGATGGCTGGCCCCTTTCCACATGCAGTGGTTCCTGATAGTTCTCAGAGCTGACCCGTTCGATGTCAGGGGTTTTCCAGAGCCAGATGATGGTTTTCAGGTGTCCGATTCTGCCCCACCTACCCCTGGGGTGATCTTTGATCTAATCAAGATCCGGCTTTTCCTCTAGCAAGGCCGCTCTGGCCCATAGATTCCCTGACTGGAATCCGCTGGCCCTGGCTGTGTGGGGCCAAGGCAGCCTGCCCCGTTCTCCCTTGTCAGGCTTTCATTTTCCGTTTCTCATCCTCTTTATAAAAACAATGAGATGCAATGAAGCCAGGTGCTGCAGAGAGGCTGTGGCAAGGCAGAGGGGATGACCCAGAGACCCTTGTCCTCTGGACGCCCTGCGGTGCCCCCACCAAGCACCAACCTGCGATTCTAGGTATGTCTCCCTTCTGGCCAGTGTGGGGCTGCTTGGGATTGGTTTGGGGTTGAAGGTGTTTGATTTGCTCATACTTCTGCTTAGATTAGAGATTGTTCCCTGCAGCCCTGATCCCAAGAGATGTTCCTCACAAAAGGGGCTCTTTTATCCATTGGGTTTGACAGACCTCAGGCTTCTTCTGTCTTGGAGCTAAGTGTGGGGGACAGTGGACACACAGGAATTCCCAGACAGGTGGCAGATATGCCCTCCCAGCAGCCTTCCCTTCTAGCCTCAGGGGACTCCACTGTCCTCATTCCTTCCTGCCCTGGCTGTCGCACTGTAGGGACTCCATGCCACCTCCATGCCTTGGCAAGCCACCTCCCCGCCGGATCTAAGTTAGCAAACATCTCCCACCCATCACTCCCTCACCCCTGTTCTGAATCACTTGTGGAGGTGCCTTGCTCTCTCCCCTGCTAGGATGTAAGCTCCTTATCAGTTTTGTTTAGCCTAGAATTGTACTGGGCACAAAGCAGCAGCTCAGGACTTGGAATGAGTGATGGCAGAAATTGGGGATGTGGCAAAATGTGATTGGAGGAGAAAGCTGAGTGGTTTATGGGCAGCTGTCTTCCCCCGGGGCACGTCCACTCGAGCTGTGGGTCTGCTGTGGCCCTGGATGACTGTACCGAGTCCCCACTGGTCCCACAATGGGCTCTCATCTGACAGACTCTGTAGATGCTCACCTGGCTTATTGTTAGCCTAAGGCTTGCTCCAGCTGAAGTTAGACTCCTTCTGAATTTAGCATGTGTTCATCTGCTCAGCAGCCACTGGAGGGCCGGCCCCTTGCCAGGCACTGTTTGAGGAGCTTGGAATAAGCAGTGAACAAAACATTGAGAAATCTGGGTGCTCGCCTGCTAGAAAGTTGTACCAAATCCTCCTCCTAGCCGGCATAACCCACTGAGGTGTGGACACAGAGAATGTCATGATGAACACACCCGCTGCTATTCCCAGAGAGACCTGCTGTTCATTTCTTTATCCATCAAGTGATGGTCGGGCAGCCACTGTGTGCCACTGGGGTCACCTGTGAGTGTGCAGGGCAGGGAGGTGAGTGGCTGTTGGCGGGGGCGGGGGATGGGCACGGGGACCTCTGCCCTTCATGAGGAGTGGATTGACAGTAGCTACAGGCTGAGAAGCAGGCCGCTGCCATTGGTGTCCACTGTTAAACCACGGCCGGGAGTCGGGTTTGGCCCTGGGGAGGAGCGTGTGTCAAGGCTTTATGGCTGGAGCGAAGGCGGCGGGGGCACAAGGGTGTCCTGCTGGGGACAGGGGAGGCCAGGCAGCCAGGACAGCCCCTTCCTTCTGTCTTTCAGGTGCTCCATCTCACCAGGAGACTTCTGGGGCAAAGGCTGTTCGAAAAGCTCATGAAGATGACCTTCTACGGGCAGTTTGTGGCCGGCGAGGACCAGGAGTCCATCCGGCCCTTGATCCGGCACAACAGGGCGTTCGGAGTGGGCTCCATCCTGGACTACGGGGTGGAAGAGGATCTGAGCCCTGAGGAGGCTGAGCGCAAGGAGATGGAGTAAGGCCCACCTGGGCATCTGGTCGCCACCCCAAAGCGTCCTGGGGCCAGCTGGGGCTGGGCTGGGCGGAGGCCCCCCAAGGCTAGGAGAGCTTGGTCAGCCTGCTTACCAGCGGCCCTCCTGGGTTCTGCCTGGGGTTCTTGCAGTTTTGTTCTGTGAGAATGACAGCTCTGGGCTTTCACAAAAGGTCTTGTGTGCACAAGGCTGGAGGAGGGGCAGGGATTGGGGATGGCAAACTACAGTCCACAGCCCAGTGTGGCCCACCTGCCTGGTTTTGTGTGGTCTGCAAGCTGAGATTGGTTGATACTTTTTTTAAATGGCTGAAACAAAACAAGAATAATATTTTGTGATATGTGAAAAGTATATGAAATTCAAATCACCTTTGCCCTAGAGGGGCAGAGTTGAGTAGCTGTGGCAGGTGCCGTATGGCCCACAAGGCTGAAGATAGATGCTACCTGAGCATTTACAAAAGATGTTTGCTGACCCTGGTGTAGGGGGTGCTGTGGCTTCCTGATGTGCTAAAGCATCTCTTCAGAGGGGTTGCTAACCTGCTGGACAGGGGCCCACTGCCTCACCCTTGCCTAGCTCCTGGGAGGGTTTTCTTTTCTTTTCTTTTCTTTTTTAATTTTCTTTAATTTTCTAAATTTTCTTTTCTTTTCTTTTTTAATGTATTTTTATTTTTAAATTATTTTATTTGACAGAGACACAGCGAGAGAGGGAACACAAGCAGGGGGAGTGGGAGAGGGAGAAGCAGGCTTCCCGCGGAGCAGGGAGCCCGATGTGGGGCTCAATCCCAGGACCCTGGGATCATGACCTGAGCTGAAGGCAGACGCTTAACCAACTGAGCCAGCCAGGCGCCCCCCCCCCCTTTTAAAGACTTTATTTATTTATTAGAGAGAGCATGAGCCAGGGAGGGGGGCGCAGAAGGAAAGGGAGAAACAGACTCCCCATTGAGCAGGGAGCCCGATGTGGGGCTCGATCCCAGGACTCTGGGATCATGACCTGAGCCGAAGGCAGACGCTTACCCAACTGAGCCACCCAGGTGCCCCTCCTGGGAGGGTTTTCTAATCAGCAGGTGGGCTTTGCCTGGTGAGTGTGGAGCCTGCCAGGCCTGGTGCATACCCAGGGGTCCCAGAAGGGAATGGCAGCCAGGAGCAGTGTGGCAGGCTGGCCTAGGGCCTCTTCCGGAGGTCACCAACTTGCTGCAGGACCTGTTCTCTGGGCGGTGAGCCTGGGGACAGATGGGTACCTCCCTGACCCACCCTTCTGGGCCACAGAACAAAATTAGAGAATGAGACCACCCTCTGCTTTCCTGGGGAGGTGGCCATACAGGAGATCCAGGCAAGACCAGCCCTTTCTTTGCAAAATGCCCGGTTCTTTTTTTTTTAAAAGATTTTATTTTATTTATTTGACACAGAGAGAGAGAGACAGCTAGAGAGGGAACACAAGCAGGGGGAGTGGGAGAGGGAGAAGCAGGCTTCCCCCTGAGCAGGGAGCCCGATGCGGGGCTCGATCCCAGGACCCCGGGATCATGACCTGAGCTGAAGGCAGACACTTAACGACGGAGCCACCCAGGTGCCCCAAAATGCCTGGTTCTTACGCTGGTACCTGCAGCCCTCCGTGTGAGGCCTTTCCTTGCCTTTGGGACCCTAAGTTCTGACAGCAGCTGTGCCTGACCACGTGAGGCTTGGGACAAGCCTGCTGAGTAACCTGTCCTGTCTCAGGCTGGGGTGTTTGCTCTGGCCTGGGGACAAGAGGCGGGGGGAGGAAGGAGAAAGGCATCACATGAGGCTCCTGCCCTGGGAACGGAATGTCCAAGCCAAGCAGCCACAGTGGCAGCGGATTGGCCTGGGGAACCCAGCCCCTGCCTAGCCATTTGCTGTCTTAAAGGCGGGGTTCTCCAGTTTGGCACCCCTCTGTGTATTCCTAGTGGGGCTGCCTGTTGAATGGCTAATGAGCTCTGTGGCCCTGCTGTGTTTCTCCGTTGAGGGCTGAGTGGTTTCACAATGGCATTTTCTCCCTCTGCTCGGAAGACTCCTTTCCCGGGGTGATCTGGCTGGCTTCCTGCCTGTTCTGCAGGGGGAGCATCGGGAGGTGGGCTGGCCTTGCCCTGCAGTGGAGCCAAGGCGCCTGTGCCCCAGGGCCACCCTGATGTTTGCGCCCCCGATGCTCTAGGAGCCCCGCTTGGTGGGCTTTGGGACGTGGGTGTTGCTCCCTCCCATCCTAACATGGTGACCACCCTCCGATGTCAGGGGCAGGTGTCCAAGACTCATGCCTGGCTCTGCTGCCAGGTGGCCCAGTGCCTTTGGAGAGGCCTGGGCTGAGGGGGCAGAACAGCTATAGTGTCAATTGCCTGCCGGCCTTCCTGGGTGTTCTTGGTCGGGAGTGGCTCCAGGCCACGCAGCCCCCATCCACGCAGCCCCCGCGCAGAGCACTGCTGCTGTGTCCCGGGGGGCGGGGGGCAGAGGTCTGTCTCGCCAATCTTGTCATGAGGCCCATAGAGCCTGCTCTGGGGAGCGATAGAGAGGCCACCACCCCAAATGAAGGCCCCAGGAGTTGGGGCAGGGAGGGTACAGGTGGTGCCGGGCCTGCCCTGGGCATAACCGTGTGAGGCACAGAAAGGATGGAGGTTGTCTGAACGCACAGGACGCCCAGCAGGCCTCCCGAGGGTCTGCGTAGGGGGCCCACGGGGGGTTCCCTGGGGTAGGAAGCAGGAGGCGGGAGGCTGTAGGTGCTGGAGGGAGAGTAGCCATCTAGGGCTGGGGTGGGATGGTGTTTCCCAGAACACCTGGTAGAAGGCAGAGGCCGGGGCCCTGGCTCTAGGAGAGGAGCCCCACAGGATCTCCGCAGCAGGCTGAGAGCTGTGGGGATAAGGGGCTGATTGGCTCTGATGAGGACACCCAGGGACAGTGTGGATGGCAGGTGCATCTGTCTTGGCTATGCAGACCCAGGGCTGGCTGGAGGTAGAGCCCCAGGGTGGTGGCAGCTCTTCTGGGACTGGTGGTGCAAAGTGTGCAGAGGACTTGGGTGCTGCCTGGAGTCAGGGCCTGGGGGGCCAGGGAGGTAGGTGTGCAGATGGGAATGAGCTCCATTGGGCTTCTCTGCACATCACTCCCTCCTGCCACCTGCATTTCCCCACTGGGAGAGCCCTCACTGGCTCTCCTCACTTTCTGCTTTTTTCTAAAAGGCAGCCAGCCAACAAATCCCCCAGTGCAGCGAGCTGCGCTTGGAGGCGGCCAAGGGGATGGTCAGGGCCTTCCTGCCGCCTCTCCCCTGGGCCTCTGGTGTTCCGGTGTTCCCCCTCCTCTGCCCTCCGCCCCTGGGCGCGCTCTCTTCCCTCTTCCACATCCTGGGCTTTGCAAGTGTGTGTGTGTGTGTGTGCGTGCGCGCGCACACGCGCACGCGCCCAGGGTTCTTCCTCTCCCCACTGGTGACATGACCTTCCCTCCCCTCCACTGCGCCTGGCCGCTGCCATCTTGGTCTTCTCGTGACCCACCCACCGGGCCTGGTTGAGCGTGTGACCCTGATCCTTGCTGGTGCCGTCTGCCCAGAGACAGGCCTCTGTGCCCTGACCACACGGCAGTGCCGCCAGCCCGGTTCCTCTGCTCGGTCAATGCTAAAGTGCTTGCCGTCTGGTCAGGGGGCTCAGCGATGGAGACAGCTGCAGTCTCTGCTTCCCCTGCTGGGCCTGCTGGCGGTGAGGAGCGAGTGGCCCATGCTCCCTGTGCCTTTGGAGCCTGGCTGGGGCTTGCACGGTGGATAGGCCCGCTGAGGGGTGTTGAGCAGGACCCTTACACAGTGCTGGGCCACGGGGGGCCTTTTCGATAATGGTTTCCCACGTGAATGCAATGCGGCCTGCCTAGGAGGCAGGAACCTTGGAGAGGATACTCCTGTTTCTCTGAGCCATGGGCTGTGTGGTTCCAAAGCAGGCCCGAGTCCCCAGCAGCCACCATCCTTGCTGACGAGGCCCACGCCTCAGTGTAGATGGTGGGGCCCGAGTCGGGCTTTTGCCTGGTTGCACCTGGGCCACAGCCGGGGGCTGGTCTTACAGGTGCTCCTTGTCCCCAGTGGGGATGCTGTTGTGTGGGCCGACCCCTCCCTCATGTTACAGAGTCAAATATTGTCACACAGTGCCACCTCACCCTCTTTTCTTCTGTACATCAAGCGCACATGTCTAGTTGCCATGAAGTGGCCCCTGCCCCCGGGTTGGGGCCTTGTGGGCTGTGTAGCAGGACGTGGAGCCCCCAGCTCTGCGGGCTGGCCCAGCTACTGGGACTCCTGGGTCCTGACCTGGGCATCCTGGCTCAGAATCGCCAGATATGGGCCCTGGGGTCACACAGAGCCAGGGTCCCAAGGGAGGGTTCCCTGGAGGGTGGCCAGCAGCCCCCGACTTGCTGTAGGAGCACGGAGGTCAAAAGCTGCCTTGGCCCCCTGACTCGGCTTGAGACCAGCGCAGGTGCACTTACCTCTACCTCTGTGTCAGGTGCGAGGCCAGGGCGGCTGGGCTGAGCCTGAGCGGGGGCAGAAGCAACCATGGTCTCAGGCTGGCCTCACTGTCCTGTCCTCATGAGGACTGGGGGTGTTACTCGGGTATGATGGGAGGACTTGGTTTTAAAAGAAAAATTCTGGCTGTTGCTTGGAAGACACACCTAAGGGGCGAGAAGGAGGCAGGGGGCTGGCAGGCAGTGGCTGAAGGTGGGGCCAGCCGTGCACGGGCAGGAGCCCAGAGCCCGGCCTGGGGCTCCTGGTGGTTGGAGGGGCCTGGATGTAGGGGGTGCATAGAGCAGAGCAACTTCGGGAGTTTTGTGCGCTGGCTGTTGCCCGGGTCCATTCCTTATCAGCCCTGACTGGCCCCGAGGCTCCGTCTTTCCTTCAGAAGGAATGCCCCCATAGCCAGCTTTCTTCAAGCACCTATTCCATGCCTTGGGCTGTCGGCTAGTTTTACTCACTCCTCACCTACCTGTAAGGACTCTGAGGCTTCTCCAGGGTGTAGAGCCTGTGGGCCAGGCCGGTCCGTGAGGCTGCTGCCCCACCCTGCTCAAGGGAGGTGACCCTGCAGGCCTGTGGTGGGTGGGTGAGGAGGGAGGTGGGGCACATGAGTCACTCTCACCTGCCCGGGCTAACCCAGCCCTTCTCCTACAGCCCTCCTTGTCAGGTCAGGGTCAGGGCTCAGCGTCTGCCTTCCTCTCACCTCTGCCTGCTCAAAGGGAACCCATGCTTGTCACTTGCAGCCTGAGGTGGCGTGACCGACCCTCACCCTCTTCTTCCTTCACACAGGTCCTGTACGTCCGCTGTAGAGAGGGAGGGCAGTGGTGAGTAAGAGAAGGCTATTCAGGAACAAATACTCTCTCTACCTGTCCCCTCCCCCACCCCAACCCCTCCTCGGGAGACCTTGGTTCAAGGGCACAGGCGAGACTTGGGGCCAGGGCTCCTCCCTGTGTGCACCCAGGCCATTGCTCCAAGTCTGCCGACATCCTCAGGCTGCTCCCGGGGGTCCTGGCCCCCTTGGCCCTCAGTGGCAAACCCTGTCCCATGTGACTAGGGCTCAGCCAGGGAGAAGGAACAGTGAGTGTAGGAGCAGGGAGTGGTGGGCAACACAGTGCAGGGAGGCCGTGGCCGCCAAGGAGCCAGCGCCGAGGGCAGGGGGCTGTGGGCCATCAGCAGGCCTTGCCGGATGCCCGGGAAGCCCTGTGTTTGCCCAGAGCTGGGTGGGAGCGGAGCACAGCACACAGCCTCTGTGTGCTCAGGCCGTGTACCTGCCCCTCCAGGTACGAGTAAGAGGGAGAAGCAGTACCAGGCCCACCGGGCCTTTGGAGACCGCAGGGATGGTGTCGTCAGCGCCCGCACCTACTTCTATGCCAGTGAAGCCAAGTGTGACAGCCACATGGAGACATTCTTGCGCTGCATCGAGGCTGCAGGTGGGGCCCTGTGCTTTGCTGGCTGTGCACCTGCCAGGGAGAGCCGGCCCCTACGTGTGGAGATGCTGATGGGTGAAAGCGAGGCCAGGCTGGAGCGCTCGCCTGGGGCTTCCTCTCTAGGTGGCTCGGACAGTCATGAGGATGACTGTGCGTGACACTGGGGAAGCCATAGGCTGGGCTCAGGTCATACCGGGGTCACGCCTGAGTCCAGCCCTGCGCAAGGACCCCGGCGCCTCCTGCCTCTTCCCGGATACCAGTGCCCAGCTGTCCGCGGGCTGAGCAGCCTTCCATCCGGGTCAGGGGCTCGAGCCTAGCCACACGTGGCACTTGGGTTTGGCAGCTACGCTGTTCCAGGAGCTGGTGCCATGGAGGACTCCTCCGCACCTGGCCTCTGGGTGGAGCGCTCTCCAAAGGAGGCAAGTCGGGGGGGCCTCCCCCAGCTACAGCGCAGCCCCACCGCATGGGCCCGCAGCCCTTCCATTCGTGGACTCTACCTTCTGCACACTGGGAGGGGTGGGAGTGAGTGGTGCTCGGCAGCGGCCTTCTGAGAGCGGTGCTGGGGAGATGGCAGTGGTCAGGCAGAGACTCGGCCACGCGGGTCCACAGCAGGGGCGCCTCCTTGCCTCTGTGCCTGCTCTGCCTGAAGCGAAGGTCACGGAAGTGAGGACGGGTCGTCGGTTTCTGGAAGGGAGGAGAGGGGCGAGTGGGGTTGAGCACCTGCTGTGTTCCATGCTCTGTTCTGCTGGGTGTTTCTGCGTTCTGTGAACCCTCCCCCTGCCCCCCTCCTCTCCCTTGCCCCCCTCCTCCCCCCCACCCCCGCCGTGGGCAGCCTGGGGTGCCGGTGGCATGGGAGAGGACGTGGGGCAGGGACAGAAGGGGCCAGCTCCTTTGCCCACTGGCTTCCTGGATCCACGTGGCTAATAAATCCTGCCAAGTTGCCTGTCCCGCCTCCGAGGTGGGGTGCACATGTGTATTTATGGGCTCAGTAGGAACATTGTCCTTCTGCCCATAAGTGGTTAGCCAGCCAGCCCAGGATATGTGGCTCCTTGGTGGGCTCTCCCCTCCTGTTCAAGGGCGGGGGGGGGGGGGGGGGGCGGGCTGGGTGGCTGGCAGGGGCCCCTGGCGCCATCCACCTTAGCCTGAGATGGCCAAGCTGCCACTAGGGCTGCTTCCAGGGAGGGTAAGGCAGGCATGCTGGGGAGCGGAAGGCCCGTCCAGGAAGCACGGTGCCGTGCTAGGGCCGGGTGGGGAAGGGAGGAGAGATCTGCTGGTGCCACTCCGTGGTGGTCTTGGGGCCCATCTGGAAGGGAGAGCCAGGACTGTGTTGCTGTAGGTAATTGGTAGGAATGGGGGCCATGCCAGCCATTCGCAGTCTGTCACGAGTCTGGTGAGATGTGTCTAACTCCTGGGGGCACAGATTCTGGGCGCGGGCTCCTGGTCCTCCTCGTCCCCCTCTGGAGCCCTAATGGTTCTTCCTGTGGCTTCTGACAGGCGGAGCCAGTGATGATGGCTTCTCAGCCATTAAGCTCACTGCACTGGGGAGACCTCAGTTTCTGGTAAGTGCCAGAACCTTCCACGTGCAGAGTTTGTGAGAACTTGGGGTGCTGTGAGCATTAAGGGAAAGCTCCTGTGCTGGTACGTTGGTGCTGGGAGCAAGGCACACAGGGAACCAGGAGGGGGCCCAGGGGCTCTGTGGGGGTCCTGGGGGCGGGAAGCTGGGCGTACGCCAGAGAGGGAGGCTCAGGCCTGCACTTGCAGCTGCAGTTCTCAGATGTGCTGACCAAGTGGAGACGATTCTTCCACCAAATGGCTGCAGAGCAAGGGAAGGCTGGTCTGGCTGCCATGGATACGAAGTTGGAGGTGGCCGTGTTGCAGGTGTGAAGCCTTGCCCGGTGGGTGTGAGTGGGTAGGCACTGTGGGGGCTCGGGGAGGAGCCCCGGCCAGTTAGTGTGTGTGGTGGGTTCCCAGAGGCCTGTAGCAACCCCCCCTCCCCCCCCCGCCACGCAGCAGCAGCTGGGGTCTGCTGGGAAGGACATGCTGGGGGCGAGGGTTCGAGGAGCGGGGTTTGCCCTGCAGGTGGCAGAGTACTGCTTTGGGTCCAGGAAGGGGCATCAGGGACAGGTAGGAATGAAACACAAACCAGAACCGTATCCTGTTCGTACTAATGGTGTAATAAAATAAAGTCAAAAGAGCAACGCAGATGTTGGGGGGGGTGGGCAGGAAATGTTAGCGAACGGGGCTGGGGCGGGTTCATGGCACTGGCAGCTTCTTACTTCTCAAGGAAAGTGTGGCAAAGATGGGCATCGCCTCCAGGACGGAGATTGAGAACTGGTTCACTGCGGAGACCCTGGGCGTGTCTGGGTAAGAGTAGCCCCCGAGCTGGGAGTTCCGGAGTGTCTGCCCTGATTCAGCCGTGTTTCCAGCAGAGCCCCAACGGCTTCTTCCAGTCCTGGTTGCCCTCCTGGAGAGCATGGGCCTGGCGTGACAGTGCTGAAGGACCTTTGCCCCGAGACACACAGCAGGAGTCGTGGGCCTGGAGGGGGCCTGGAGTCCACGGGGCCGGGCCGCAGCTAGCCCAGGGCTAGTCCAGACTGTAGCTGCGTAGGAGCACCCCTGAACCGGCAGGGCCGCTCACAGAATTATTTGGGTCCTAGAGTAAGGGTGCCACACTCAGCCCTCCCTGGGGCCCACATGGCAGGCAGGCTGAGGGTCAGGGCAGCTGAGATCCTAGAGGGGCCCACACCTCTTTCTGAGGGGTCTGGAAGCTGGGACTGAGATCACCAGGGCCCCTGGGGGGGTGGGTAGCAGCTGTCCCATTACATGCAGGGTCTGCCTCCTTCCTGGCCTCCCATGTTTGGCTCTTTCCCAAGCCTGACATGGCCCATGGTGTCCTTGGTGTTCACCCTGGGTTTTTAGTAGCTGCCGCCGCCCCAATGCAAGAATGTTCTGGTTTTGGTTTCCATTTTGTAAACAGAGGATAATGTTAACATTTTATCTGCCTTTTAAAACTGAACACTGAGGCGGGTTTTGCGGGGGTTGGGCTAGGGGTGCTCTTTTAAGGCATGGGCTGGTTTGGGGACTGGGCCCCCCTGACAGATCCTAGTGACCCCGTGCTGATGCAGCTTCTCCCACAGCACCCTGGACCTGCTGGACTGGAGCAGCCTCATTGACAGCAGGACCGAGCTCTCCAAGCACCTGGTGGTCCCTAACATGCAGGTGACCACCCCTCACCCCTGAGCCCTGTCGCACTGGGGTGCGAGGCTGAGAAGGGAAATGCTCCCTGTCCCTCACCCTGGGCACACAGCTGGCTGAGACCAGCGTCCTTCCTGGCCACACAACATCCCTGTGGTCTGGAAGAGGACAGGTCCCTGAGTGCCCCACAGAGGGGGACAGAGACCCACGTCCTCTATCCTTGCATGCTGGGTCGTCCCAAACCTCAGTGGCCTGAAATGGCAGTAATCCTGTTGTCCCGCATCGCAGTTCTGGACTGACCAGTTCTAGTGGTTCTAGCTCAGGGTTTCCCTTGCAGTTGTTCTCAGAGGGTGCTGGGAGCTGGGCTCATTGTGGAGGGGCCCCACTCACATGGCCAGCGGTGGATGCTGGCTGTGTGGGGCGGGGCTTCCTCGCCATGCGAGGGCTGGGCTCCCAGGGTGAGTGTCTCTTGAGAGCCGGGCGGAAGCACGGTCACCTTTTCCAGCGTCACCCCAGATGTCCCATGGCGTCACTTGTGCCCAGTTGTGTGAAAAGTCACTAGGCCAGCCTGTGTTCTCGTTCTCACCAGGGAATGAGAGCCCCCTTCCCTGCCCTTCCTGCCTGGGGGAGGTGCCAGGACTTTGCACTCTGTTGGAAACCACCCCTCAAGCTGGATGTAAAGCAGCAGAAGCGCCTTGGGAAAACATCCCGCAAACAGTGCCTCCCACAAGCACCCGGGCCCAGCTGACCGAGGGCCCAGCCCCCAAACTGAGACTCTGAGGGCCAACAGAGGGGCATGCTCCGGGCCCCCCCGGGAGTGCCCTGGGCGGGGTTAGCGGGCATGTGGTGCTAGCAGAGGGCCCAGTGCCCTGTGGGCCTCCAGGATAGGTACCCCCTGCCGACCTGCTGCCTCCCCGAAAGCCACCATCTGAGGATGGTGCCTCTGTCCCCGCTGCTGTGTTGTCAGTCTCCTGCAAGCTGTCCCTGTCTGCCTGCGGTCGCCGTTCTCCCTCCAAGCCCTCTCCTTGCTAAGAGCTGAACCCTTCTGGGTGATTGGATGGGCCAAGGGTTATTTCCTTACCGTTGTGTGGGGGCAGAAGGGGGATCCCCTTCCAGGGTCCTGGGAGGCTGTGGGAGCAGATACCTTGGGTGCAGGCCTGACCTGGGGCAGCTAGCCCTGTGAGTCAGAGGGTGCTGGCTGGCAGCGAGGTTCTGGGGTGCCGTGTAGCCAGGTGGCCTCAGGGCAGGGCACTGATCTTTGCTAAAAAATGGGGAAGGGGTGGGGATGAGGTGGCCTTGCGGGTCCTGGGGACCATGCACTGGGTATTGGTAGACCCTGCACACGGCGGGGGGGGGGGGGAAGGGTGCCCTTGGGCAGGGGACGTGGTGGCTTTGAGAGGTGGGGGCTTAGAGCCCTGCTGCGGCCTGACTACATGCTGCCCCAGACAGGACAGCTGGAGCCTCTGCTGTCTCGGTTCACTGAGGATGAAGAGCTGCAGATGACGAGGATGCTGCAAAGGATGGACATCCTGGCCAAGGTCGAGGACCCTGGGGCGTGCCCAGAGAGGGGGCCACGTGTCTCACCTGACCCCAGTCAAACCCTCTGTCCCACCCCTGCACCTCTTAGAAAGCCACGGAGATGGGCGTGCGGCTGATGGTGGACGCCGAGCAGACCTACTTCCAGCCGGCCATCAGCCGCCTGACCCTGGAAATGCAGCGCAAGTTCAATGTGGGGAAGCCACTCATCTTCAACACGTACCAGTGCTACCTCAAGGTACAGCCCCTGCCTGCCGTCTCCCTGCCGACCCTCGGGTGAGCGGAGGCCCCTCGTGTAAGTCCCGTGCTGGTGTTGGGGAGAGGCCTCTACCTGAGCATGATGGACTCCGAGCAGGAAGAAAGGCCCAGGGCCCTGTCTCCAGCTGTGTACCTGCCCCTTCTCTGGGCCTCAGATCCCAGACGGGTGTAGAGGGGTAGGAGGAAGGTGAAGGAGCCTTTTTACCGTCTGCTTCATGTGCCTTAATCCCCAAATTTTGAAGGCCTCACGCGTCACTGGTTTTTCCTGCCATTTTTTAGTTCGGGTCCCATCGGATCAGATGGTTCATGGGACTGGCAACTTCTGGTTGCCTCCCCACAGAAAGACTTGCTCAGGATTTTGCATGTACCTCTGGGAGCCCCAGGGTGCTTCAGGGTGGGATTGCTGAGCACGAACCTGGGCTGGGCTGCTCTGGGACCAGGCAGGTATTTGGAAGACAATGGTGTGGGATGGGTGTCAAGGCTCCGGCGTTGGTGGGGCGGGGGGGGGGGGGGGGAATCCAGGCAGGTGCCCGTAGCATGCAGCACCGTCAGCCCAGGGAGCCTCTGGAGTGCACCATGGCTTCCGGCACCTCGTCTGTCCCCCAACAGGGTTGTCCCAGGCTACCCAGAAGAATCCCCATTTCTAAGAGAGCTCAAGGGGCCTTCCTCACCCCTACTTGTCTCCCAGCTCCCCTAAGCACCCGCAGGTCAGGCAGCTGCTGCTGGCCCTGGTGTCCCACGGTGACTATACCCTGGGAGCACCTGGGCCTCAGGGGACACAGGCTGGAGGGGGCCTCATCCTGGTCATCATCAACTTTTGGCCCCGGTCCCACAGGACGCCTATGACAACGTCACCCTGGACGTGGAGCTGGCTCGCCGCGAGGGCTGGTGCTTTGGGGCCAAGCTGGTGCGGGGTGCATATATGGCCCAGGAACGTACCCGCGCCGCAGAGATTGGCTATGAGGACCCCATTAACCCTACGTACGAGGCCACCAATGCCATGTACCACAGGTGCGCCAGCCCTCCTCGGCCCCGAGGGCCTCATGGCTTCCTGGGCAGGGGAATGAGAAAACAGGGCCGGGCTGCTGGCACTGACCCCACAAGACGCCCATCTGAAGGGGGAGCAGGAGTGAGACTTATGCTTGAGGCCAGAACTGATTATCTCCTCTGCTTTTAACTTACTGTTTATTTTTTGAATCCTCTATTGTTCTACTCTTTCCAAAAACTATTAAGGTGCATTTTTAGTACAGAAAAGCCTACTGAATAAAACTAAACTGGCCCAGGTCCGCCAGCTGGCTCTTGTTGACACTTAGGAGAAGGGAGATGCCCCGGTGGCCCTCCTGACTTGTATAGAGCCCATTTGCTTTTCATATTACACACCGGGGTCATCGGCTGTTCTGCATCTGCTTTTAGTGTGTTTGTCTTGCCAACACTGTCATGCAGCAGGGGCAGGCGGAGCGTGTGCTCTCTCTCTAGGGGGTTGTGTGTGTGTGTGTCGCAAATTCAGACCCCTGGCGTCTGCCTGGCTCCTGCGTCCTCCCTGGCAGTTCCCTGCTACTTTCCCAGAGCTTCTGAGTATGCATGTGTGTACCCGCGTCGGCTTTGGCATCGTGCACTCAGCCCTGTGCCCTTGCTTTTCCAGGTAACACCCGTCGGGACGCCCCCATGTCAGCGTGCGGGCCCCCGCTGTTAACCCAGCGGCTAGCAGCATGCCCATCCCCGTCAGGACGGTAGCGACCCGTAGCACACCCTGTCCCCGCGTACTCACGGGCAGGTACACGGTTTTGGCACATTCCTAGCAGCCGAGTTGCTGGGTCCAGGACATGCACCTTCGCTGCCAGACGGTAGGCCCCTCACACCGTGCGGGGGGAGGCCCCCCGCTCCCGCCAGGCCTTTGATTTCCTTGTGGACCCCTGCCCGGAAGCGAAGGCGTACGTGTCACGTGCCGGGGGCACCGTGCCCCAGCCAGTCCCGTCGCATGTCTAGCCCGGGGTGCTGCTCGTGTTTTCTTTCTTAGCCGCGAGGTGCTGAGGAATGTCAAGTGCAGCCGTGGTCCTACTGCTGTGGCCACGCTTGGGAGGAGTGGGCTCGCTGGACGGCCCTGGGCCTGCCTGTGGCCCCTGCGGGTTGGGGCTCACGTGGCACTCCCCCCAGGTGCCTCAACTATGTCCTGGAGGAGCTGAAGCACAACACCAAGGCCAAAGTAATGGTGGCCTCCCACAATGAGGACACAGTTCGCTTCACGCTGCACAGGTAGGCGCCCCCCCCCCAGCTGTGCGGTGCTCCTGGGGGAGGGGCTCGGGACGAGGGCCGTGGAAGCCTGTGCCGCGGGGTGACGTCTGTGCGGGGAGCAGGAGGCAGCTGTAGTGTCCTGCAGGCCCCCCGCCCCCCCGACACCGCCGGAGCAAAAGGGCGATTTGTAGTTACTTTGCTTTTTAAAGTTAATACCTGACTTATTAAAGTTGCAAATTCAAAAGCTAAATTTCCTTAGGCGCTTACTGAACTTTGTGCTTGCAGAAATGCACAAATACAGTATGTAACGTCAGCGCCCCTCGGGAGGCCTCTGGCGTGTCACCTCGTTTATCAATAGTCTCTCTTAACGCTTTCAACTGCTTTTGGAATTTAACACAGTCTGTTTTCTCTTTAAATGCCTGTCCTGTGGAGCAAAACTTTGGTAGAATCCGTACAAGTCAGATATAGGACTAAGGTGAAGTAAATTCTTAAATATTCCAGTGTCATTACCATGTTTCTGTGTTCTCCATCTTCACCCAGGCAGCACCGCACGGCGGGGGGGTCCTAGCCCCAGTCGCCACCTTCCTGGGCCGGAGGCCCCACACAAAGCACGGGCAGCCTTTCCCGGGAGCAGAGCAGGGCTCCGGGGAGGAGGGGTGAAGGAACAGCCAGGGCGGGGCGCGGCCTGATGAGCGCGCTCTGGTCACTCCGCACCCACTCGGTGACGAGGCGCCGCCTCTCCGCCTGTGATGGCGCTGCTTTCCACAGCCCGCAACTGCAGCTGACAGCCGTGGTTTCTCATGCGCAGCAGTCACGGCCATGGGGTGGGGACAAGAGCGCCGAGGCCACCAGTGCCACCTGGGCTGAGTGCAGACTGTGACGAGGCTCCCTCCCAAGAGTCCCTGCCAGGGCCGGGTCTGACTGCTCCCGTGGGACGGGTGGGGGGCCGAGTGGAGTCCCAGCTGGACAGGGTGTTCCGCCTTCTCTGCATCCCTAGGGACTTCCCAGGTGCTCATTTCCTGCCTCGGATGCCCCATCCTTGTCATTGGATGTCAGAGGGCCAGGGGCACCTTCTGTGCTCAGCGCAAAAGGAAAAAAAAAAATAGGTCTAGCCTGACTTCTAAAACAAACACCTGATTGAGTTGTAAATCTTAAAACCTGTTTTCCCCTTAGACTTAAAGATACTACTCTGTGATGGAAACTTGATCAAAGCTTGAACCCTCGGGCACCAGGGTCCTCCACTAGATGATGCACACCGAGAGCCTCCCCGCACCCCCGGCCCAGCACTTGGGAACCCACAGCCCTGCCCAGTGGCAGGACCCTGTGTGGGTCAGCGGTGTGGAAAGTGGCGCCCTCCTAGGTTTCAGTTACGCGCTCAGCCGGCTCTGTTGGCCACTCACATCTAATGCAGGGATCACAGTCCACTCAGACACCAGCTACACACAGGACAGTGGGACTCAGAGAGGTATAACCTGTCCTCAGAAGGGCTCCCTTCCTCCTGTCTTCTCAATCTGCCCCCCCCACAACATGTCTGTTTTCACCATCTTAGTGGACACGGCTTCCCCCCATCTGGAGTGCCCTCTGAGCACGCTCTCCTCTCCTCTCTCCCCTGGGCCTGCGCCAGGCTCCACAAATACCACTATCGTGGAGAAGGCTCAGCCCCCAGTCCGTGGTTCTGTGGAGCCCACAGCAGCTTGGGCTGGCCCTCCCTGAGGAAGCGGTGTGGGTCTCTGATGCCACATCGGGGATCTCCGTCTGAACAGCTTGGGTCAGCTTTGGCCAAGTGGCAAACCAACCCCAAACTCAGAGGCCTGAACAGCAGTGTATCCCGTGGGCCAGCAGGGTGGGCTGGGCTCGCTGGGGGCTGCTTTTGCTGGCTTTGCCTGGGGCCTGTCTTGCATCTGTGGTCAGCTGAGGCCTGACTGGACCTAAATGGCTTCATTCATTGGCACATCCTCAGTCCCTCCACCCGACTGGGTCTGCATCAGCAAAGGGGACTGCATCACATGTCCAGTTTCCAGTAGGCCAGGCCAGGCTTTGCCTCGTGGTGGTCTCAGGCTTCCAGAAGCCCTGGAGAGGGCAAGCCTCTGCCCACATCACATTTGCTATTGTCCTGCCGGCCAGAGGAAGTCAGAAGGCCCAGCCTAGATGGCAAGTGGAGAGCCCCCATCTGCTGGCAGGGAGCTGCAGTCACAGGACAGAGGGTGCGGAGAGGGGTCAGCAGCCGTCACTGTGGGAGCCACCGGAATGTCCCTACCGCCAGTAGTCAGGAGGCAGCCCTGCTCTAACAGGGTTCACGTTCCAGTGGGGCCCAGAGATACCTAAACCGGAGACCAGGACAACATGGTAGAGACTGTGGCCTGCTTTAGACTGGGTGGCCCCCACACTGGAGCCAGACTCTGAGGGAAGGAAGAAAAGGGCTTGTGTGATGACCCTTATGCCAGGGGAGCGCACTCCTGGCCAACAGCCTGGGTGCGTGTAAGAACCCAGGCTGAACATGCCCCTGGAGGGAGGTGGATGAGGGCAGGTTCCAGAGCGCTAGTGCAGGTATGTTGAGTCTGGACACGTGGATACAGGAAGCTGGAGGTAAAAAATGTAGGAATCCTCAGCAAGTAGACATTTCAAACCCTGGGAATTTTTGTAAGATCCTACGAGGGGAGGTGTGAAGATAGGAGAGGATGCTGGACAGAGTTGGGGGCCACCCACCCCAACATCTGAGCGGTGCTAATAGAAACGTGAGCCTCATCTATTCTAAATGTTCCACTAGCCACACAAAAAAAGATAGTTAATTTCAATAATACCTTTCGGTTAGCCCAACATACCCAAAATATTACCTGTATTCAGCATTTCAGAGAAACAGTGCATTCTTTTTTCCAGTTTTCAAAATTCCACGTGTGTGTGATACTCGCAGCCCGTCTCCGTTTAGGCCAGCCGACTTCTAAAGACTCCGTGGTCACCAGTGGCTGGTGCCGCTCTATGGGGCAGAGCAGCCAGCAAGGGGAGGACAAGAGACCCGGTCGGGTGGAGGGACTGAGGATGTGGCACTGAAGCAGAGGGGCTCAAAACGGGGCAGGGGAGGGCCTCTGAGAGCCTCCCCAGGCCACACCTTGGGGCAGGCTGGCCTTGCTGGGTCAGGGTACCAGAACAGAGGTCAGGACAGACAAGAGGGAAGGGAGAGAGCACACAGAGGAAGGGGAAGGACAGAGCTTGGTAGCCACGGGCTAAGGTGGGAACCAGGGCAGAGGCCTGGTTTGGGCAGCACAGAGCCTACACCCATGCCCATACTGCAGGGGATGGAGGCTAGAGTGTATGCTTGAGGATCTGGGAGTGGCAGTCAGGGGTGGGGGGCGCAGCGGGGCTCACCTGCCACACTGTCTATAGGATGGAGGAGCTGGGCTTGTACCCTGCCGATCGCCAGGTGTACTTTGGACAGCTACTGGGCATGTGCGACCAGATCAGCTTCCCACTAGGTGAGCGAGGCCTCCCTGGGGAGCAGTGGTGGGGCTGGCTGTCCAGGGCTGGGACTCACTGCTTCTGCCTGTGTACAGGCCAGGCAGGCTTTCCCGTGTACAAGTATGTGCCCTATGGCCCTGTGATGGAGGTGCTGCCCTACCTGTCCCGCCGTGCCCTGGAGAACAGTGGCGTTGTGAAGGGCGCCTGGCGGGAGCGACAGCTGCTGTGGCAGGAGCTCAAGCGGAGGCTCCGCACAGGCCGCCTTTGCCACCGTCCAGCCTAGTGTTCGTGGGCTACCATCGTCCTCCACCTTCAGACTCGGCCTCCAGCCCTTGCCCTGTGGGGCTCTGCGTGGCCCCTGGGCCGGTGCACAGCTATAGCCCAACCCCAGCCTCACGTGGATTCACCTTTTTATGCCCCTGAGACCTGCTGGAAGTGGGGCCTCAGCGCCCCTCTGGCCCCTGCTCAGGATGTGGGCACTCAGGCTGTGTCTGATGCCTGCCAGAGCCACTGGGAACTGTCCGGAACTGCCTCCGAACAAGTGGGTACGACTCCCATCTCTGCCAGGCCCCAGGACCTTGGACCCGAAGGACCACTTTCTGCCAGGGTTCATCTAGCCCACCTCCCCCCCCCGCCCCCCGCCCCCCGAGCCCCACAGGCGGGCAGTCGCCAGGCTGGGGAAGCCGACCTGGTCAATAAACCACTATTTCTGCAGCCCTTAACTTCGTGCCTGCAGTGCTCTTTCCCTTGCACCATCATGTGGGGTCAGCATCAAAGATAGAGTGGCGCTGATGGCCCTGCCTCTCTGGCACCGTGTGTCCCTGGGGGCCAGGCCCACCGTGGGTGGGGTGGACCCCCCAATCCCTCCCTCCAGGGTGTATCACAGATTCAGCTATGTCAGGTGCTGGACACTCCCACCCCTGGGCTCGGACCAGTGCAGATAGGATGCTCCTAGGGGTGGGCTTGGTGCTTCTCTACCTGGGGACTCTCTCCCCCAGACTCTTCCTACTGTTCTGTGCCCCTCGCCCCAGCTGCCCCATGACCCATGATGGCTGCCTGCCCCCGCCTCCAGCCTCCCCGAGCAGACTAGATGCGGTCCTAGTGCCTTGGGGCTTCCCCAGGTATGGCTGAGCCTGCTGCGCCATGAGGGAGCCCCAGAGGGGGTGCCCCTGGGAGAGCCTCTGTGACAAAGGGCCGGGTGGGGGGCCTCTGCTGATTCCTCCGTAGGCCACGGAGCTACAAGGCGAGGGCCCTAGTTGGGCCCGGTCATGGCAGATACCACAGAGTTATCACACAAGGGACGTGCAGGCCACACTGAGGTACTTTTATTTCTCTGGGCCTCACAGGGCCTGGGCCTTGGAGTGTTTCCCACTTACTCAGGGGGCTGCACCTGCCAAGGAAGGGGCTGAGACCAGAAGATGGGGCATGGCAAACGCTGGGGTGTGCCCAGTGGAGTGAGAAGGTACTAGGACCTCCAGCCCCACTCTCCCGACTCGGGGGCAGCCAGGGTCCACCTGGCCTCCTCAGAGGGTCGACCCCTCCTGCAGGCAGCTGGGAAGGTGGTGGCCAGGTGTTGGAAAGACAAGTTCCACTCAGCTTTCTGCTGCCTGTGGTGACAGGAACAGGGCTGTCTTCTCAGCCATGACGGGCAGCAGGTAACTGGCAGAGGCCCCACCTGGTCACAACGCTGTCTTCCCCGCCTGGCGGCCCCTCTGCTGCAGCTTCCTGATGAGCTCCAACAGGTTCATCTGCAGCGTCAGCTCCTGGGGTGCAGAAGGGCTGCTGTGAGACCAGAATGATACCTGGTCTCTCCTGTCCTGGCAAAAGCCCCCTTTCCCACGGGCCCAGAGGCAGATATTGGGGCCTACAGAGTGCCAGGCAGTGAACCCATGGGACTGACTTCCAGGGACTCCTGGCCACGGCTTGGGCCTGCAGTTGTCCTGGCTCGGGGCACAGGGCCCTGTGAGCAGCAGGGCCTGGGGAAGGTGGACAGTGCTCCCACAGCCAGCTGGCTTGCCCTCCTGTGGGCAGAGGCAGTGGGACCCGCCTTACTAATTCTTCCCTCCTCCCCTCCCCCAACACACTCTGGGTCTGGCTCCCCAGGGACCAGTGATAAAACCCCAGAGGGAACTGGGCCTTTGGGAACCACCACCCCCTGGGCTGTGCCAGGGCAGGCCTGAGGCACTGACCTGTGGGTTGGTGGTCACATAGAAGCCAGCAACCCCAGCCTTCTCCAGGGTGCTCTGCTGGTCGGCTACCTTCCGGTCCAGCTCCAGGACAATCTTCTGGTCCATTGCCCGCTGCTCCTCCCGGATCCGGTGCTCCACTGCCTGCGTGGTGAGGGCGGCTCAGGGGCTCAGCCCCCTGCCCATCACACACTGCCTCACACACACGCTGGTGGCCTGCCATTTCCTCCAGCCTGCTCCCCATTCCCAGGGGCTCCAAGACCACCAATGGTGCCCTTACTGCACCCAGGTTGCTCTCTTCTCGGTCACACTGAACCCTGCAGAAGGGCTCAGCTGCCCTACCCGGAATGCTGTCCCTTCCAGGACCCCCAGCCAGGCGTCCTTCCTTTGCTGTGTCGGGACCACTATGAGCTGGCCAGATGCCAGGTCCACTTCTGCTTACTATCAACTTGCCAAATGTCTCTGGGCCTTTGTGTATGTTCCCTCCCCACTGGGGCTGCCTGCCGATCCCAGCTCGGCACCTCTTCCCTGTGCACCCTGGCTCCAGGCTGCTTGGGACCCTGCATAAGCCTTTCCATGCACCCCTACCACCCATGGCTTCTTGGTTACATACGGGTCTCCTGGTTGTCCTGGAGCAACCTGGAAGCAGACTGGGCTTCTGCTGGCTGGCCCACCACCCACCATTGCCCCGAACAGGCCCAGCCCTTGAAGAGCTATGGTCTTGGGAAGCAGGGGGATCACACTCTCTACCTGGTCCTGCCACATCCCAACCCCCAGAGTGAAGAGCCACATTTGGGGACTCATCAGGCCTCCAATGGCCCACCCAAGTTGAGGCCCAGAGCAGCCAGGAGCTCCCAAACCACCCTGAGGTGATACCCACCCAGCTCACACCCCTACCTCCAGCTCACGCTGCTGAGCTGCCTGGAGCACGGGCAAGTTGTGGGGCCGGCAGGCCTGCTGGGCTTCCTGGTGCTTCTGTCGCAGCGCCTGCCTGAGCACTAGGAGGAGATGAAACCAGAGAAGTCCAGCAGGTGGTGGGGGGCGAGATGGAGCGGGGCAAGACACACTTCTTGCCTTGGCACCTACCCTGGCTGTCCCACCATGGGGCAGCCAGGCCAAGGTGCAGAGGTGAAGCCCTGGCTGATGACCCAGCCCATCTGAAGCCCTGCACTAGAAGCTGGGTGGAGTTCTGGGGGACGCCTAGTCCCCTAGCCCACTCAGTCTTGCCCTCACCCAGGGCAGGGCCTTTCTCTAGCAGTGAGGATCCAGGGGACTCTGGAGGGTGCAAGGCAACCGAGGAGGCTGAGACAGGGCAGGTTGGCCAGAGCTATGGCCAGTGCTCACAAGACCCAAAGGAGTGGGAGATTAGTCCAGAGGCTTCTGGGCTCAGATGGCCACAGGCCAGCAGTCCTGGGTGTGAGCTGCCCATCACCCATGGGATGTTCATTGAGATGTCCACCTGAGGGTCCACTGTGAGACCATCCAGGCAAAGTCTGGAATAGGAAGGAGAGGAGTCATTGTGCCTAAGCATGGCATGGCCTCTGCCCATGGTGGCGCGGTGGTGTCATTCCCTCAGTGCTGCCCTTGAGGGTGGGCAGAGCTGCCCCACCCCATCCATAGCTCCCAGAGGGGGTAAGGTGGGTACAAACCCTGGGAGGCCCTGTGCTGGGGAGTCTGTGTTGCTTCAAGTGGGGTTCACCATGGCCACTGAGAAAGCTCCCAGTTGCCATTAAGTCATACCATAAATAGAAGCAAAATTGTCTACTGTGATAGGACTGGACAGAGGACAAAGGTACCATGCATGGAATGGAAAGAAACTGATTACAAAACAGAATACTACACAGCCCAGGGCCACCTGGGTGGCTCGGTGAGTTAAGTGTCCAACTCTTGATTTTGGCTCAGATCATGATCTTGGGGTTGTCAGTTTGAGCCCCACATAAGGCTCCGCACTGGGCATGAGCCTGCTTAAGATTCTCTCTCCTCTCCCTCTGCCCTTCCCCTCCCCTGCCCACCACTCTTTCTCTCAAAAAAAAAAACAAAAACAAACAAAAACAAAACACAAAACCAAAACCCAAAAGCAAAACAAACAAAAAAAAACACTCAAACAACACAGCCCAAATCCTGGACCAGTGTCAAGTGGCCAGATCTCCCCTATAAGGAGTGGTCCCTGGCCATAAGGAATCACAAACCCAATATTATGTCTTAAGCAGACACCTCTTAGCCAGTAGTTTGGCACCTCCCGTGCCCAGAACCTTCCCAATCTCCTGTTTCTTGGCATTCTGTGCACATCTCAACAAGCATTTATCACATTAAATGAGTTTGAAACCAAGAGCCACACTTAAGATACCTTCATAAACACAGGGCCAAGGAGATGCTTCCAGGTTAATGTTTATACCCCGTGGAGGCAGGATGGGAGGAAACAGATAAATGCAGGGATGTGTCATCTCCTTTACTCCGTTTATGAAACATTGCTGCAAATCCCAGAACAACTCCCAAATTCCACTGGGTGAGCAACCATAAGTGAGAAGAGAGCTGTGCCCACTGCCCAGGCGGAAGGGGACTGGCTTTAGCAATGACCAAGGAAAGCAACGGCAGCCAATCCACCACCTGCTGAGTCGGAAGGAAAAGCAGAAAGTCACAGGGTGCTTACCCACTGCTGGTGGCATTAAAACCTGCCCGAAACTTCCAAAGGACAAGTAGCAAAGTGTCTAGAGGGTTATCAAAAACTCCCCATTAAAAGGAACCAGGATTCTGTGAAGAGACTGCTGCCCACCCCCTATTTTTATTATTCTGAGTGCTTTACTGGCTCCCTGAACTAGTAACCTCTGTGGAGATAAACAAAGATCACCCCCAGGAGAACAAGAACTACTTACTGACAGCAAGACAGTAAGTGACCACCACTGCCTGCATTTGGCAGAGACTCAAGCACAGGCAGGAGAAGGGGGAAAGTTTTATGGTGGCCGAAGGGGAAGGTGCATCCTGACGGGAGGCTGCTGGAGAAGCTGGAGGGGAGGAGGCAGGCAAAGAACAAGAAAAGATGAGCCTACACACCTTCCTGCACCAGAAAGCAAGGAAGTGCTCCAAGAATGATGGGGACACATCAAAAGGATAGAGGAGCCAGCCCAAGAGCTCTGCCACTGACCAAATGGGGCACCGTTTGAGCATCACAAAGAATAACGGGCTCTATACTTTGGATTTGTGACCGTATGCATGCTACACCTCAACAGAAATGTTTACAAAGACAACCACTCCAACAGCAGGGAAAGGGTAATACCAATTCTATAAAAACGCTTCTAGAAAACAGAAGAGAACACTTCCCCCAACTCACTCTATGAAGCCAGCTTTACCCTATTACCCCATCCAAAGACATTATAAGAAACTACAGATCAATGTCCATTATGAATATAGAGGCAAAAATTCTTAACAAGATTTTAGCAAATCAAATCCAACATAATAAAAAGGGTAATACATCCTACCAAACGGGATTTATCCCAGGAATGCTGTTTATCCCAGGAATTAAAAAAATGAGTGTAATTCATCGTAGTTAACCAAAAAGCCATGTGATCATCTCCATAGATGCAGAAAAAGGGATTCAACAAAACCCAATGTCCACTCCTGAAAGAAACACTAGTTTTTGCCACAAACGTGTAAGCTGCCTATCATCACGCCTGGATCTGCTGTCCGGCTGACAGGAAACACAGAGCGTGGAGAAACGGTTAAATGACAGCATGAGGAAGCAATCCGACAGATCCAGAATGCAGACATTCTACAGGCAGAATGCCCCAGACTCTTCAAAAAGCCCCATAGTAAATGGGACTATTCCAGAAGCAGAGACCAAAGTAACCAACTGCGATGCATAAACCTACACTGGCCTCACAAAGCGACAGTTTACGACAAGTTGGATAATGTGATTGTAGCCTGAAGGTCAGAAGACACCCTGGAATGATTTAAGTTTTCAGGACGCTGTCCACCGTGCTCACATTGGCGAGTGTTCTTGATCTAGAGCGCTGGTTCTCAATCCTGGGCCAAGGTTGATCCCCAAGGATGTATGAAGACATTTCTGATTGTCACTGCGGGGGGGGGGGGGGGCTGCGGCGGGATATGCCACTGTCATCTAGCGGGTAGAAGCCAGGGATGCTGCTGAACAGCTTGCAATGCACAAGACACCGTCTTACCATTAAGACTTGTTCAGCCACAAACAACAATGCTGCGCTTTGAAAATCCCAGTCTAGAGTAATGCTGAAGACTCATGGTGAAGCCCTATGGTGCTGCATATATTTGGGGGTATTAAGGCTTTGGCAAAATGTTAATTACTGAATCTAGCTGGAGAGAATACGGGTATATATTACCCTACTCTTTCAACTTTACTGAATATTTTAACTTTTTTTATATATATAAGTAAGTTGAGTAAAAACAAAATAACAAAGGTGGGAAACTGATGGGGCAGGGAGAGCAGCCCAGCATACCTTGCAGGAAGGGGCTCCAGGAGACCTCTGAGTGGGGATGCCTGGGAGGGGCCAAGGCTGACAAGGCTTTGGCTGAGGGTGTGGCTCAAGTGAGGCAGTTTTCAGGTCCCAAGGGTCCACAGGGCATAGTGCAGGGGAACTCAATGTGTGGGTGGTGTGGCCCTCGGCGCTGCCGAACGGGGAAATGACCCTAAAGGGCACGGCAGAACAGTCAACACTTCGGGACATCATTGGGGGCGGTCAATGGCTACCGCTGACCGCCACTACTGGGATCTGTCGGTGGACTGACCAGGCAGGGAGGCCTTGGGCCATTCTGCTTGGGGGAGGGTGGAGACACGGGCAAGTCCGGGCAGGAAGTTTCTGGATATTATGCTAACAAGGGACCGTGCAACTGAAAAAATTAAACTGCCTTGACCCCTTTGTCACCAAAAAACGCTAGCAGTCTCCGAGCCCTTGACCTGGTCAATTTTAGGGACTTCATCTGAGCGACACCCAAGGCAGGGCTCGGCCTGCACAGAGACCGAGAGCTAAACTCCCGGAGGAGAAGCGTGCGTCGTCCCGCCACCCCGCGCACCTCGGTGCTCATTCTGCAGCCGCAGGCGCTGGTTGTACAGGCTCTTCTCGGTGAGGTGCTGGATTTCCAGCAGCCCTTGCACGATCTCGAACACGGTGCCGTCGAGAAGCGCCAGGGCCAGGTCGCTGAGCGTGGTGTAGGACAGGCGCTGCTGGAAGGAGCTGAGGGCAGAGGGGCGCGGTGAGCGCGGGCCGGACCCAGGGCCACTTCAGCCGCCCGTTCCGCCCCGCGGCCGCGCACCTGGGCAGCTCTTTCACTAGGCCCTGCAGCGCGGACAGCAGCTGGTAGTGCCGCTCCTGCTGCCGGGCCCCATCCACCGCCTCCTCGAAGGCGCCCGTGTAGCGCTCCATGGCGCCCGAGTCCCGCCAGCCACCGGCTAGAGCAACGCGCGCCCCCTCTGCGTCAGTTCCTAGTGCGGCGCGTCCGGCCCATTTTACGACCGTTCGAACGCGGTGCGTCCCGCCCCCTTTTACGACAGTTAAGCACGGCGCGGCCCACCCTCTGCGCCCTGCAGAAGGAGGCTCTCTCCGCCCCTCCGCGGAGGTTCCTAGGAGGGTCCCTCGTTGTCCCCGCCTCTTACCATGCCATTTTGCCCACGCGACTTCAGAGTACGCGTAACCATAGCGTCGAAATCGCGAGATTTTGAAGAAGCCCGTCCTGCCCGCACAAAGTGGGGGCGGACCGAAGCCCAGCGCCACTGGGTCTGTACGGCTGGGCTGGGCTACGTCCCGGGGGGGGGAAGGGAGCGGGGGGAAGAGAGGGGGGAGGGGTCTCGTCCAGCGCATGCGCCTGCTGGGGCGCCGGGGGTGCTGCGGCTGTCGTAACCTGCTTGCTCCCGTTGCTCTCCCAAACAGCGCTTGAGTCACTGATCGCCGAGCTCCGCCAATACAAGCGGCGTGACCTGGAGCCATTTTCGTCACCTTCAGGCCTCAGTCTCCTTGTCTTCCATTCATAGGACGTTTGTCGGGGTTACCTGTCAAGAGAGCCCCCACCCCAAACACACACCTGCGCAGGGTGTGGGAGCTCCAGCAGCGGTGATGTAGGCAGGCCCTCCGCGCTGGAGGAAGCGCCTGGCTTGGCAGGGGCGGTTCTCTCCTCCCCCCTACACCTTCCCCAACCTCATTACTTTGAGGACAGTCCCGTTTCCCGCCTCGCTTCTGCCTCCACCAGGGTAGTCAACATGTGGAAGAAAACCTGGCCCAATGTCTCAGTCCAACCTTGAGAATAATTTCCTGGAATCCACAATTACGGTTTTCATAAGCCACAAAAATCTACAAAACAAAGTTTCGATTGCTGAATATCCTGCTGGGCTCAGGGGGGCAGGGGATTCCCGCCATGGAGAACCAACATTGTGTCTTCCTCATCTCAGTGGGAGGGTGTTCAGTGCTGCTAAAAATTGGGAGGGGGCTGCTGTATAGTGAAATGCAAAAGTAGGTAGACTCCTGAAGAAGACAACCAGAAAGAAGGCTTGTGTGGCCAACTTGAGCAGGAGAATCCAACCGGCCTTGGATAGAATGCCCAGACCTCTTGAGAAGAGGGCGTGCTGACCCCCTGGGGCTCTGTAGGGTCAGGGCCAAGGAGAGGAGTCAGCCTTCCCTTGATGATCCCTTGATGGAGACTCGTTGACCAAACTTGGGGCAGGCTTCTCTGAGCACTCCTCTGACTAGGCCTCATGCTTGGTGATGTGGGAAACAAAGGCAGAAGAAAAATTATTAAATTTCCTTACTATTTACAGCCCATCGACAAGTCCTTGAAACAGGCAGGGACTGTTTCATTCCTCTAGGGACTCAACTGCCTCAATGTTAATACTAAGGGCAAAAAACAATCCTAGCCCCCCCCCCCTCGCCAAGGATCCTGTAAGTCTACATTAACATATAAAAATTCCTTTAGAAATTTCCTTTATCTCTAAACCCCCCCAAGATATGTGTTGGCAATCACCCCTGCCCCAAGCATATGGCCTGACAATATATATCTGAAGGGTCTCATTATTAAGGTTTTATTAGACAGTAATAAATGACCTTTTCCCACCAATAGCTAGCCCCCTCAAGGTCCTGGAAGCCTTGCTTCCAAGTTCCTTAGAGACTTACGCTATCCCTAACCTCTTTCCAACTTGAAAGTATATAATGGGCCACTGCTCATGACCCCAGTGCAGCTCTTTCTGCCCACGGGTCCTGTCCCCATGCTTTAATAAAACCAACTTTATGCACCAAAGATGTCTCAAGAATTCTTTCTTGGACTCAATGGCTTTGAACCCTAACATTCTTTTTTTTTTTAAAGATTTTATTTATTTTTTTGACAGAGAGAGACATAGCGAGAGCAGGAACACAAGCAGGGGGAATGGGAGAGGGAGAAGCAGGCTTCCCGCAGAGCAGGGAGCCCGATGTGGGACTCAATCCCAGGACCCTGGGATCATGACCTGAGCCGAAGGCAGATGCTCAACAACTGAGCCACCCAGGCGCCCTGAACCCTAACATTCTTTCCGTAAATAAATAAAAATAAAAAGAACATTCATGTCCAGGATTTTGTGTGGACTTAAGTGTTGTTGGGCCTGGGGGTGGGGTCCTCCAGACCACCCTTGGGGTGGATGCCTCACTTCCTAGAAAGACTCACGGGGGGGGGGGGGGGGGGGGGGGCGGGGTCCCTCCCTCTTTGGAAGTTTTGTGCTATCTCTCAATAAACTTTGCTGCCCACCACTCTTCATCTGGTCTACCTCTTCATTCTTCAAGGTGGCGTAACCAAGAACCACGGACACGAAAGGAAAAATCTGCAACATAGTCATCCTGGGCCCCGCACTGAGAAGTGCCATCTCATTTAGCCCCAAACACAGTAATGATGTGGAGAACAAAGGCAAAAGAAATATGTTCATTTCTGGAAAAAAAAAAAAAAAAAGACTCACAGGACTCTCACAGGACTCCATGGAGGTCAAAATGATTCTGCACGGGGGTGCCTGGGTGGCTCAGTTGGTTAAGCGACTGCCTTCGGCCTCAGGTCATGATCCTGGAGTCCCGGGATCGAGTCCCGCATCGAGTCCCGCATCGAGTCCCGCATCGGGCTCCCTGCTCGGCAGGGAGTCTGCTTCTCCCTCTGACCCTCCTCCCTCTCATGCTCTCTGTCTCTCATTCTCTCTCAAATAAATAAATAAAATCTTAAAAAAAAAAAAAATAGATTCTGCATGGCCCAAGTTCCCCCACACACAACCACCACCACAAATCACATTATTGGCTTAAACTATCCAAGGCCCCAACTAAACAAAGACACTCTTCTCGGGCAAGACATTCCAAGGGCTTAGGGCTTTTCTCCCAGGAGCCAGGTAAGGTCAGACCTTTCTTTGGAATGTGCAAGTTCTAAACATGCCAGACCTGCTGAGTCAACCCTTGACTGCACTGAATCCATTTTCATTCCTCTGGAATAGATGCCTGGGATTGAGATTCTGGGTTATACAGTACTTGCATGTTTTTATCGTTGTTGTTTGCTTATTTGTAGAGCGGGGGGAGGTGGAGGGCCTCCTCCATCTTTATACCACTACCAGCGATGTGTGAGTGACCAGTTCCTCCACATCCTCAACAGCATCTGGGACTGTTTTCCCACATTTTGTCTAAGGCATCCTGGTAAATATGTCATGATACTTCACTGTGATCTTAATTTTTTTCATGTGCATCTTTATCATCTTTATCCTCTTCAGTGAAATGCGTCTTCATGTCATTTGCCTATTTTGCAATCAGACCTTTTGTTTCTCACCAGTGCATTTTGAGAGTTTTTGTAGCTTCAGATACCTGTCCTTCGTTGGATGTGTGATTAATTGGATGTGTTAACTATTTCTCTTCAGTATGTACTTTGTTTTTCATCTTCTTAAAAGAGTCTTTCACAGAACCTTGGTTTTTACTTTTAATAAGCTCTAATTTATCCATTTGTCTTGATGGGTCACACTTTTGGTGTCAGGTCTAAAATCTCTTTGCCAACCCTAGATCCCCAGTTTTTCCCATAGACTTTTATTCTAATGTTTTACATTTTATAAATGTGTGTTATCTATTTGGAGTTAATGTTTGTATGGGGTGTGAGGTTGGGTTTTAGTGTAGTTTAGGTTGCCTCTGGATGTCCGCTTGCCCTACTTCCATTTGACAGAGAGACCATCTTTCAGCCCAGGAATTACTTGTGCATGTTTACCAAAAATCAGTTGCACATATTCTTTTGTTCCATTGATCAACATGTCTATCCCTCTGCCAATACCACACACTTTATTTATTAACTATGTAATAACTGTTAAAATAGGGGATATTTTATCCCTGTTTTTCAAACTCACTTTAGCTATTCTTATTCCTTTGCCTTTTCATGTAAGTATTTTCTTAAGATTTTATCTATTTATTTGAGAGAGAGAAAGAGCTCACAAGAGCAGGGAGGAGCGGGGTGAGGGCGGGGGAGAAGGAGAAAGAATCTGAAGCAGATTCCCCGCTCAGCACAGAGCCCCACACAGGGCTCAGTCCCACAGCCCATGAGATCATGACCTGTGCTAAAACCAAGAGCCAGCTGCTTAACCAACTGAGCTACCCAGGTGCCCCCACCCAAGTATTGTTTTAAAGTGCATATTTTTTTCAAGAGAAATTCTACCATTTGCTGTTTTCATTTAGCAGGTCATCATCAAAATCTTCCCATGTCAGTACCTATAGATCTGCCTTTTCTAAAAAATAAATATAAAAATAAAGTAAAACACAAATTCATGGTGTTGATGTACTGGAATTTATCTAAACCGGTCCCTCTTAAGGGCTAGTATTTTTTCCCCAGTTTTGTTATAATAAGTAATGCTGAAATCAGTATCGTATTCTGCATGTATTTGCACAAATGTTCCCCACCCCATTGTCATTTGACTTTGCTTGTGCTATGTGCAAAGACCTGTTTTGTTTAAAATTTGTGAGGCCAAGTTTATCGATCGTTTGCTTTATGGCTTCTGGGCTTAATTATAAATAACAATGATTCATCCATGTGCTCTAGGAGTACTTTCAACATTTCAGTTTCCCAGTCCTTGCCCGGCTGAGCGCTCGCAGAATTGACCAAGTCTCCCAGGAGCCCGGGAACCGCCTGAGCTGCTCCGGCGAGAACCTAGGCAGCACTCCCTGGCCTGTTAGCCTCTCCGGGAAATGTTCCAAGTTCCCCCTTGTGCTCCTGGGTAGCGCCTTGCGGGCTAGGAGCTCCCAGGAGGACGCCCCTGGATGCGTTGCGCGCCCACCGCCCGCCCCCAACCCAACCCCCTGGCGGAGAGATGCGATCCGGGGCGCCCCCTAAGGAGATCGCGCCTTTGGGTGGCGGCGGTGCGCCTTTGCTGGCCGGCGATCCGGTGCCGTCCCTCTGACATGAACCACGGTTGTGGGGAGCCATCTGGCGGCCGCTTTTATATAGTTTCCCCCCGGAATTCCGCAGAAATCTGCAAGGATGGGGTTTGGCCAAGGGACGCGAGGCAGAACTCCAGAAGGCCGGTGGCGCTAGCGGAATCTTCCC